TATCTCTGTAGTTATCTCTGTAGCTGTCTCTGTAGATATTGCTGTAGCTATCTCTGTAGTTATCTCTGTAGCTATCTCTGTAGCTATCTCTGTAGCTATCTCTGTAGATATCTCTGTAGCTGTCTCTGTAGATATCGCTGTAGTTATCTCTGTAGCTATCTCTGTAGGTATCTCTGTAGCTATCTCTGTAGATATCTCTGTAGCTGTCTCTGTAGATATCACTGTAGCTATCTCTGTAGCTATCTCTGTAGCTGTCTCTGTAGATAACTCTGTAGCTGTCTCTGTAGATATCGCTGTAGTTATCTCTGTAGCTATCTCTGTAGCTATCTCTGTAGATATCTCTGTAGCTGTCTCTGTAGATATCACTGTAGCTATCTCTGTAGCTATCTCTGTAGCTGTCTCTGTAGATAACTCTGTAGCTATCTCTGTAGTTATCTCTGTAGCTATCTCTGTAGTTATCTCTGTAGCTATCTCTGTAGCTGTCTCTGTAGCTATCTCTGTAGCTATCTCTGTAGGTATCTCTGTAGCTGTCTCTGTAGATATCTCTGTAGCTATCACTGTAGCTGTCTCTCTAGCTACTTCTGTAGCTATCTCTGTAGCTACTTTGGTAGATATCTCTGTAGCTACTTCTGTAACTGTCTCTGTAGCTATCTCTGCAACTATCTTTGTAGTTATCTCTGTAACTATGTCTGTATCTACTTCTGTAGCTATCTCTGTATATATCTCTAGGTATCTCTTTAGTTATCTATTTAGCTGTATCTGTAGCTACTTCTGTAACTGTCTCTGTCGCTATATCTGTAGCTACTTAAGTAGCTATACCTGTAGCTACTTCTGTAGCTATCTCTGTAGCTACTTCTGTAACTATCTTTGTAGCTTTGTCTGTATTGCGCATGGCTAGCTTAACGCTATGTTGGTGCTGGCAGTTGTTGACGGGGGGAGACAATTAGGTTTGGTACAAGTCGGTTTGGGGCACCCTCCTTGTATAATGGTATTGAAAACACTGATCTGTGTAGGAAAACAAATATGGTGGAACTGGACAAGGATAAAATTTCAGAGAAGATGTTTGGGTGGAAATAGTGGTGGCTCACTACCAGCCTCAAATACTTGTACTTGTACTCGTAAAAACACCTTAATACTGACTGATACAATTTTATGCTCGGTGATGTCATTTCCTGCTTGACTCTGCCGGCAACCAAAGACAAAAAATAAACAATATCCATAGTAGAGACATTTGAAGCCAAAAACTGGTGATAAGAATATCAAAGTTCATGCTCAATAATCCAGGTACAAATCCAACAATGTTTAGTCAGGTCATCTGGACGGTTTCTTTTTTTGCTGAGACGTTTCATCCTTCATCCAAAGGACTTAATCAGTCTGAGGAGCCACAAACAAACTGAATCTCACAAGCAGCACACTCCCATAGTGGAAAAAACAGTTTGCTTGTGATAGAATGTTTGTTGTGTTCTTAATAAAAAGACTTCTGTTTCTAAAGTCACTGTGTAATGTTTAGTACTGCTTCATTAACTACTCGGTATCGACAATTACCCAAACGGAAGTACTCAGTTTGAAAAGAACTGGTATTTGGACACCTCTAGGTGAAAATATTTGAGTCAATCTGCTGTTAAACAAAAACAATAGTCAGAAAGCTGTCAAGAACACGTACTGGGGCATCAGTAAGACTGAGTTCAACACCAAAACACACATGGCTTTTGGAAAGCTTCGCTAAACCGATAAGTTTAAACATTTTTCAACTCTAACCCTAACATTGCTTCACCGTTGTGGGCCTATTTTCTGTCACTCCCGCTGTTTTTGTAGGTAAAGTCAAAGCACACTTGGTAGCCAGCAGCCGTTCACAAAATATGAGACAAATCTTGCGCGGGTTACGTTTGAACGAGAGCTGGGAAGCGAAAAAACGTCAGAAAAAATAAAATAATGGACGGAACAACAAAATGTGTTCAAAGAAGACAAGGAGTTGTAGAGGAGGAGCAGAAATAGAGGTAAGACAAGGAAAGACACGTGGAAGAAAAGGGAGAGTGTGAGGACAGGAGGGTGGGGGGGGGGGGCATTAGCAGGGCCTGTCAGGTGTTGTCAGGATGATGAATGGGAGGCCAGCGTGGGCTGTGAGGACTCTGATGGGAGCCGCTGAGCTTTACATCACTCTCCTGAGTGTTTGTGAAAGGTTATTAAAGGCGTTTAAATCACAGCTCTCTGACACGGGCCCGCGAGCAGACGCCAAACTTCCACAAGCCCGAGCCGGTGACGGCGTCTCCGGAGTCCCGAGCGTCGACACAAAGGTAAGGCGGTGGTGGGAGGGGCTGGCGCAAGTATGGATGTGTCCGGCCAGGGGTGAGGAGGGGACGACACTCACATAGATTGTCTTTCTGAGGAGAATAATGTAGGGTAAATGGGTTCAGCAGCAGTCGTTCATCATTAGAGCCGCTCCACCGCCGTGTTGGAATGAGGTTAGAGTCGACAGAGACAACTAGCTGCGATTCTGCCACAAAACTTATTTACGTTCAAAGCATTTGCACTTCATTATCGGAGTACTGAAAATCCCTGAAAATTTTTCAAATGAAACCCGAGTTCTCTGAAGGAACGCCAATTGTTGAGCGACTTCTGTGGCAAAGTTTTAAACGGAGGTTTAGAGCGCACCCTCGAGATGTGTGTTCAGGATGACTTTCAGCTACTACCACACCAAGTTTAAGCTCAGGGGATGGAAATGAAAGGTTTTACAAGGGCCTATATCCCTAGGAGTTCTGTTACACCCATCATCAAGAAATTAAATTAATATATGGGACATGTGTAAATCTACCAAGAGCAGGCTGTCCTCACAAACTGAGTGACTGTGCAGGAAGGATAATAGTGAGAGAGACCACCAAGACGTCTGCGAGCACTCTGAAGGAGTTACAAGCTTCAGTAGGTGAGATGGGAGAGACTGAGCATACAGCAACTGTTGCCCAAGTTCTTCATAAGCCTGAGCATTATGGGAGAATGGCAAAGAAAATCAGTGTTTCACCTACCGTTATCCAAGGAGGGCGCCCCGCCCTGTCAACAGAACCGAACACCCTGCCTACCGAAATGTCCTTCACCCACAACACCCACCTTCAACCCTGCCCCACCCCCCGCATCCCAGGACAATCGCCGGCACTGATGTAATGATAAGCTAGCGGCACGCAACATAGATGCTCTAGCTAAAACGCTACAAACAGATGTAGTGCTCCGCTTCTCTCACCTCTCCCCCAACCCACCCCCGTCAACAACTGCCAACACTAATGTAGCGATAAGCTAGCAACATGTAATACAGCCACGCTAACTAGAATGCCACAAACATATGTAGCGCTTCGCTCACCTCTCCCACAAACCATCCCATCAATAACTGCCAGCACTAATGTAGCGATAAGCTAGCGACACGCAACATAGATGCGCTAGCTAAAACGCTACAAACAGATGTAGCGCTCCGCTTCTCTAACCTCTCCCCCAACAACAACTACCAGCACTGATGTAGCGCTAAGCTAGTGTGCGACACAGACGTGTCTCTCCACACACACCCTCATCGACAAAAATCAGAACGGATGAACAATCTGCCAAGGTAAGTGACCTAGGGGAAACACTGCATACTGTTAATGAAAACCCAGATTAAATCTGGACTAGAGGATCTAAATAATTAGACGTGTAGTGTTCTTTAACAGAAGGTGTTTTTGTTTACAGTGAGTGCAGACCTGCATTTCAGAATTGCATATCAATTTATCTGCAAAACTCCTTGAGTGAATTTATTTAAAATGCACCACTTGATGAAGTTCAGCGTAACATTTTTCAATATTTGACTAAACTGTTTAAAATGAATGACTTTAACCAGAGTTACAAAAAACAGCTGATTATAATGCAAAGATGAAATATTTGCGTTTTTTCCTCGCTAATATTTTCCTGTTTACATGCAGCTACTGCTCTGAAGTTACAAACAAAAAAACAACTCAGAGTAATTGAACTGTTTAGATATGTAGATTAAATTAAAATGTTTTAATTGTGTGAATGTTTATAAATCAGTCACACAATTAAGGTCCATTTTTCATCCGTACATGTTTCGGCACAAAATTTCTTCAACAGATTTTGTGCTATTTTATTAAATCATATATCAAAACGTTCGGCTCATTCGGGACATTCCTGATGTGACGTTTGGTATTTGTAGGAATTTTACTTTTTGAAATAGTTCGCTATTTCGGCCATTTTTTCATTGAAAATGAATGGAGCTCTCTTCACCTTCAACCTTTTACTGCTCCTTTGAGTTTAATTCTGCTAATTTCATTTATTTTCTGCCTTTTCAGCTACGTTTTAGGTATTTTTCTGCTAATTTAGGCTTTTGTTTTGTTATTTGTTTTTTTGCTTATGTCCAACTTTTGTGATTCTTTCATTTAATTTAAATGTCTTATTAGGGATGCACGATATTATCGGCATGGTATCGGTATCGTCTAATATTAGCGTTAAAGTTAAATATCGGACGTTGGCCATTCCATCAAAATAACTCACCGATATAAAAGGCGCTGTTTTTGTATGACGACACAGTGACAAGGATGCCTGCAGCGCCAGCACAATGTGATGTCATGCGTGCCTACCTGATCTGGTCATGGCGGGAGAGGAAGAAGTGAAAATTTCGGTGGTGTGGAAGTTTTTTAAAGTGTCGGAAACTGACAGCAGAACTGCTATTTGGAATGAATGCTCAGTGTCTCTGATGCGAGGAGGAGCGAAAACGAAGTCCTACAACACTTCGAACCTAATTAACCATTTCAAGAACCACCATTCCGACCATTACGATGAGGTCATGGCGGCCAGAAAGGAAAGCGAGAGAGCGGTCAACCGTGGAGAAACAAAACCTCACCAGCGGTCCATTCTTCAAGCTTTGGACAAAGCAAGGAAATACAGCCGCGACCAGCCAAGGGCAAAAGACATCAGAAACCGATGGAGTGTATTGCTCTGGATAACCAATCATTTTCATTCGATGAGGATATCGGCTTCTGAAAATTTTTGGACTACGTTGAGCCTTGATCGTTCTCAGTCGGAGATATTTTTCCGACGTAGCCTTACCCGAGTTTCAGGCCGTCCTTTCCGACGTCATTGAGAAGCTAATAGCACTTAGTTGAGTTTTATCATTATTTTCAGTCCCCTTTTTGACATCTGCATTTGGTGGCAGGCCAAATTGACAAAGACCGTGCAGAATAATGTAGTATTTTAATTACACAACAGAAAAAGCTATGTAGTCTCTGTAAGTAGGTCTAGGGGGAAAAATATCGGTATTGGTATCGGATATTGGACAAATAAGTTTTAACATATCGGCATATAAGATATTGGCCAAAAATCCAATATCATGCATCCCTACTATTTGTTTTCATGCCAATAATTCCAGTTTTATTTATATTTTTCAGCTACTTTTATGCTAATTACTGCATTTTTCTGCTTATTTAACCATTTTTCTCCAATGTAAACTTTTTCAGCATTTATTTGATTTATTTTTCAGCCTTTTCGCACTTCCTGCAGCTTCATCGTTCCAATTCTCAGCTACGTCAAGTACGCTTTAGCTTATAAAGCTGTTTTCAGCTAAACCATTCAGCAATAGTCACACTGCATTTTTACCAAAAATGTTATATTTTGTAGTTTTATTCTTGTTTTTAAATTAGGTATCGTATTTTCCGGCGTATAAGTCACATCAGTCATAAAAAGTATCATGAAGAGGGAAAAAAAATAAAAAATAAAAGTCTCTTCGGCATATAAGCGGAAGGACAGGAAAATCTATGCCAAAAAAAAACGGCGACTTATATGCCGGAAAATACGGTAGTTGTCCTAATACGCTGCTGTAAAGACAGCGTAACTTTTAAAAACTATTTCTGTGGTAAATAAATCACAGAAACCTTCGCTCCGATGTGATAAGAATGAGTGCGCCACGTAAATGTAGATGTTTTTTCCCCTCCACTTCACATAAACAATTGTTGTCTTGTTTTGTTTAGTCAGAGGTTTTGCTTGCAGAGTATGGATTTTTGTGTCAGGGTCCGTGTTGGGAGGGTCTGGTCGGCCCACCGAGCCGGTCCGCTCAGGCTGGAGAGGCCATTTCATGCTCTCTGACCCTCATTTGTCATTCAGCTACATTAAATACTCGTAGGCAAATACCTGCTGACAGGAGCGGCTGAGGCGATCGAAAGCAATTAGGGGGGTGTTTTCTATTTAAAACAAAATCTGCAAACAATCCTCAAAGCAGGAACAAGAAAACCCCGGAGAGTAAAAAATGTCCGCAGCGAAAAAAAGAAATACTCACACTGAGCCAGTCTCCTGCTTTGCCATCGAGAGAGGACTCCTTGTGCAACAAGTTGTACTGGGAAAGTCGCCTGCTGTCCTTGAACACCTCGTGTTGGTAGAAATCCATGATGGACAAGGATTTCTCCACGCTCCGCCTCTTCAGGGTGTCCTCTCTCTGCTCAGCTGTGAAGCCGAAGGAAAGTTTGATTGAAAACGCGTGAAAACGGCTGGAGCCTTTCACAAACCAGTGAGGATACAGTTAGCTTGTTGAAAGACAAACACACACTGAAATAACTTGAAACTAACAATATTAATAATGAAAAATGCTGCAAAAATATTCAAAGACAGTCGCTGCGTTTGTATTTTGAACAGAATTGTTTTGAAAAACAAACAAATGAAGCTGGTCTTGGCTAAAAGGATGGCAGCCTTGGTTTAATATTTAATATATCAAGTGATTTCTTTAAATCTCGGAGACCTCTGCTCCTGTCCTCGGGTGTTTTGGTCCACTCCTTGTGAGCAAACTGTTCCAGCTGTCTCAGGTCTGAAGGTTTCAGCTCCTACAGATGTTCAACACAATCTAGATCAGGACTCTGAAGGCCACTTCAGAACAGTCCACTTTGGTTCTGAACCATTCTTGTGTGTTTTTATGTGTTGATTCATTGTGTGAATATTTATGAAACATTCACATGACTGTGAGCCATTTTCCTTCTGTACGTTTTTCAGCATCTTTCTCTTTCCACAATTTTTAAGCTATTTCAACAAATCGTAAATCAAAACATTTAGCTTGTAAGGGTGCTATGACTTTTGGTATTGGTGCAACTTTAGCTTTTTGAAATATTTAGCCTTTTCTGCCTTTTTTCCCTCATAGAAAATGAATTGAGCTCATTTTACGTCCTTCAAATCTTTATATCTGTTTACAACCTTTTACTGTTCCTTTCACATTTTGTTCTGCTTCAGCTTCTTTCAGCTGCCTTCTGCACATTTTAACTATTTTTCAGCTACTTTCAGCAGTTTTTTTCAGCAGTTTTGTGCTCCTTTTAGCTTCTTTCTGCTAACTACAACATTTTTGTGCTTCTTCTAACTTATTTCTACTATATTCAGCTTGTTATGCTCCTTTCAGCTTATTTATCAAGGTTTCAGCTTTTTCTACTATTTCAGCTGCTATTTAATCGTTTTTCTGCAAATTTAAGCTTTTTCAGACATTTCCACATTTCTTGCACTCATTCATTTTTTTTCAGCCCAATTCAGCAAAAAGGTGCTCTCTGCACTTCCTACTTATAATTTCAGCATCTTTCTGCTTTTTTAGCTACTTTTCAGCTGTTTTTTTTTTCTTTTTCTAATTTTAGCTTTTTTCTGTGATGTGCTCATTTCTGATTCTTTCAGCCTACTTGGGCAAACCAGTTCTTTCTGCAGTTTTATGCTAATTTAATCTTCTACCTTTTCAGATAACTTTTTAGAATTTACTTTAAGTAATTTCAGCTGTTTTCAGATAAATTCAAGTTTTTCCTGCAATTTCTGCTTCTTTCTGGCTAATTAACTTCTGTATGCTAATTTCAGCTTATGTTCGTTTCAACTTTTTCCTGCTAGTTCTGCTATTTCAGCTACAATTTAGCTGTTTTTATGCAAATGTTTGCCTTTTCAGCTAATTCCACTTTTTTTTAACTCATTTTAGCTCTTTCCGCTTCATTCTTCTAGTTTAAGTTTCTTTCTGCCTTTTCAACTATTTTTTTGCTCATTTCAGCTATTTTAGCTAATTTTGTGCTAATTTCTGCTTATTTAAACACAATTCAGAAAACATGCGTTCTTTCTACTTTCTTCTACTTATTTAGGCTTGTTCTTCTTCCATTTCAGCTACATTTCAGCATGTTTTTAGCTAATTTTATAATTTTTGTGCAAATTTCTGCTTATTTAAACCTAATTCCGCAAATATGTGTTCTTACTGCTTTACTCTACTTATTTAGGCTTGTTCTTCCATTTCAGCTACATTTCAGCACGTTTTTAGCTAATTTCGGCTGTTTTTCATCAAGTTCTTCAGCAATACGTATTCACACTGCATTTTTGCAGGAAATGCACTTTCTCTAGTTTAGCATATCCCTGTGGGCAAATTACTTTTAATCCTGTCTAGGAGTGCCACCCTTTTAGTCAAGGCCAGTTTCATCAACTTATTTTTTTTAAACGATTCCCTTGAACAAAAAAATTAAAATCACTGACTATCTTTATTAATTGGTTTTCAGTCATTTTCATTTTATTAGTTTCAGGTTAATTCAGAGAACGATCATTATTGAAACGCTACAAACAACTCTAGATCTGCAAACAGTTTTGGAGACAAACGATCTCAAACCAACCAGAGTCGGTCCTCCTGGTTCTGTCGATCGGGGCTCTTTGTGGCGAGGACGCGGTGCTTCCTGTTCGCTCCGGTTCGGTCTCCGTGTCGCTGCTGCTGCCTGAGTACGTGCACACTCGGAGGGTTGTTTGCTGATAACGGACAAAAAGGCAAAGTTACTTAAAAAAACAAAACAATAAAAAAGCACTAGCATATTTACAATTTGTGGTGAAAAGTGTTCCCAAATTATTCTCTGAGCAGAATTTCGTTATATGCAATCCTTCAAGGAATGCTGGGAATTATTGTTTTATGATAGAATGACCCAGCCAGATGACCTGACTGAACAGTGTTGGATTTTCACCTGGATTATTGAGCATGAACTTTGGTGTTATGATAGATTTCTTTATATTTGAGATTTACAGGAATATTCTGAGGCTTTCGTGTGTTTAAACAGTTGGAGACTGAGTCAGCGTACACCGGCTGTATTTTGCTCCTTGGTTTTCATCTTCCTCTCCGTTTCTTTCTCCTTGTCTTCGGTAGAAGCAGCGGCGGTGCTGCGTTGGGCACCAAGGCTCAACCTCTTCGTCCTGATCACATCTGTAAATGGAGAGGGGTTACGAGGAATGATTAGAAGAAGCACAAATGTTAAATTTGAGCATGTAGGCAGCAGAAAGTGGATTTTTTTCTGTTAATTTTCCATCCAGCTGACGGACAGACTGAACTAAAACCCATATCCGACTGGTTTCACGTCCACTTCTCTGCACAAAATCCCGACGAGGCAGCGTGAATGGTGTCCAGCCTTTGATCGTTCTGTCCGAGGCCTTATTATCGCTGTACCTGCTGCCGCCTCAGAGAGGTGCCACTTTAATTGTCTCACATTCGGAAGCTTCTTTTATGCACGAGACTTTCAGCTGCATTAGAATACCAGGCTGCTTCTGAAAACGTCTTCACCTCTTTCTCTTTTTCCAAACATTGGGACAGACTGGGTCTTTTCAGGCAAATGATACATTTCTTGTCATTTACGCTAACTCCATCTCTTGCCTATGCAGCGTTACCGAGGTGATAGAGATGCAGCCTACGGACCTGTAGGTATAAATCTGTGCGTTATCGCTCATCCTCGTGTGTTAATGTAGCTTTAATCAACCATTCTGCCGTATGTCACACTCAGCACGTCTTTATGATCTATAGCTGTGCTGACATGCCTATCTAATTGCATTTGTGGATATTTTTCGAGGTATACGAGTGTCCTGGTTTCACCAATCTCAGGTGAGAGTCACGAGTCAGTGTTGATGCATTAGCCTCTCAATTAGCGGAGTAGCGGAGCGAACAAGGTTCTTTGTTTAATCAGAGTTTATTAACCAGACGACTTCCTCTCTTCTGTACACCCCCGAGCTCTCGGGAGGAAAATTTGGTATCATCAACGACAGCGACATCCGATACTTTACCTACATCCTGAAAGATAAACAAGCTTTATGCCATCTAACATGGTAATAGTTTGTTTTCGTGCTCTTTTTGCCCTAGAGGACAGTTAAAAAAAACAACAACCCATTTCTGACATGGAATCTTGGCCCAGTTCTACTTTAAAGTTAAAGATGGATCGCAGATCTGGTTTTTGAGGCTCTCTCTAAGCCTAAAATACAACAAATGTGCTTGATGCAGAATATAAATAAATAAAGAATTCAGAAAAAGTGAATACGCCTTATATTAAGAGGTTTGTGTCTGAGAGAAAACTGTTTTCATATTACACAAGCGGCACACCGTTGTTCCCAGTTGCTGAAAGATTTGAACAGTGAACGTTTGTAGTTTTTGAGATGAGTGTTTTTCTGGACTGGAATCGAACAGGGAATGGAAGTTAATGTTAATGTTTTTAATGCGAAATACTCAAGTGGGTAGGAGTTACACTGTGGAGAAGAACAGAGGTAAAGAATAGAGTGACAAATCCTGGTGAGCAGAGGGAGCAATTTTAATCCACCAACAGGTGCAACGGTGGAGCCAGGGGGTGGCCAATGGTGGCCTTGGCCACCATAGATTAATCTTTAGCCACCCCAACAGTCACCCCAATTATTTAAACTACTTTTAAGCTATATGGAAACTAGAAAGCATAGTTTCCTGAAATGACAAGGGTGGCCAGTTTACATATGTATATATGGTGGTGGCCATCTTGAATTTTGATTTGGTAATCCCATTTTCTATGGTAAACTTTCTTATACCTAGATACAGCTACATATCAAAAAGGAAAGTGGGCTGTTGCTTTATTATCTCAAATTATGGCGCTCACAAGGTTTACATATAATATGGTGGTGGCCATCTTGGATTTTGACCTCGATACACAATTTTTGAAAGTTACATTTCTTACTTCTAGATGTAGCCACACACTAAAACGAAAGGTCGTACCACATTTATTTTCAAGGTATCATGCTCACAACATGCACAGATGGATGGACGGACAGTATTTCAGAAAGGGATTTTTGTTTGAAGCTCAAATGTTGAGTACCAGTGAGTGGTTTAGTATAATAGGCTTAAATACTATTGTTTTTAATTATAAGTTGTTTGTACACTTTCCATAGATAGGTAGGTGATATGCACTTCTTTATGGAACTCTATATCTTTATTTATATATATTTATGCTCTTACACTCTCAGATGATGGAATTTGTCTTGATATTTTGTTTTCATATCAACGAAGATAATATTTTCGTTTGTCAGTTTTCAAATACAGTAAACCTTTTGGTATCATTTTGCCTGAGTTTGCCTAAAGGGATGTTAAATGATTTTTAAAAAAAAGTTAGACAATATTACAAAAACAATCATTGGACAATCAGATGTCATTTATATGCTGATGACACACACATGAATATATCAGTTTATAAGCTGATGATACACACATGAATATATCAGTTTATATGCTGATGATACATACATGAATATATCAGTTTATTTGTTGATGATACACATGAATATATCAGTTTATATGCTGATGATACACATGTGAATATAGCAGTTTCTACCACTCTAAACTTGTAATCAGTTTTAATTCCTAACAAATCAGACTTAAAAATGTGACTAATGAATTTATTTCTAGCAGATGGCATTATCGGCATGCTTTTTTCCCAGGATTAGCTAAACAAGAAGTAATAAACAAAACTCTGGCTTATGTGATGAAATGTGTTTCATTCTTTTTTTTGACATATAACTGACCTGAGGATGCCAGTTTAGGCAGGCGGCTCTGGGTGTCCCGGGTACTTCCGCTGCAGGTCACAGTGGGGTCAGACAGTGAGTGGCCCAAGGTGGTGGTGGTTTTGGTGGTGGGAGTGTGCAGGTGGGGTTTTGGAAGGGAAGGCACTTTCACGTCAGGTTGCAAGGGGTCCGGGTGAGAAGACGAGGGTTCCTGTTGGTGCTCGGAGGAGCCAACGGTCACCCCACCTGGGCTGGATTCAGATTTGGGGATGTGGCGACCGCTGGCTCGTGTGACTGAATCAGGGAGGGGAAAAGTGCCGATGCCACTGTCCAGAGTTCTCATCTGACAACTGGAGTCTAGAGGGACAGGGAGAGGAATGTGACGTCTGGGAAACAACAACCACCAAGTGTAGGGTAAAAACAAAAAACAACAACAGGGAGGGCTTGGATTTACATGCAACGGAAGGGATTGTGAGTAAACAGGGAATCTGTGGCAGGTTAGATTGAAAGAGAAAGAAAAAGCATGAGTGAACAGTTGACTGAAATTCTGTCACATTGTGTAAATAATCACTGAAGCTCCATTTTGTCAAGAAATGACAGCCAGCTGGAACAGATGGGAGTCTTGAGCAGATGGAAAGCTCTGCTGAATCCCATTTAACTAAAAACAATCATAATTAATTCCCTCTGCATTACATGTCAAAGTTTAAACAGAGATTTTGCGTGATCTGTTAGTGCTCAGAGTATGTGTTAGGGATGCCTCTTAGCTACTGCCATACAAAATTAGACCTCAGTAACTATAAAAAAGGCTGTTGTCATCATTTTTGTGTTTGTTAAGGTCAATTGCTGTGGTCACAGAGAAAATATATATATATTTTTTCTGTATTATTTTGTAGTACACCCTTTTTGGTTTGATGCTGTTTTTTTTTTTTGCTTTGTGTTTGGCTTTAGTTAACTTTTTCATATTCATTCATCAAACCTGCCTTCAGTAAATATGTGCTACTATTAAGAGTCTCTGCTTTCTTGATGTCATGTTTTGTTTTTGCTCTTTGGACTGCCTGCACTTTGGTTTAAGTATAAAAAGGTTTATATTAAGTTGCGGCACACCGATGTTCCCTGTAACTGAAAGATTTGAATAGTGAATCTGAAATTTTTGAGATGAGTGTTTTTCTGGACTGGAATTGAACAGGGAATGCAAGTAAACCTAAATGTTTTTTTTTTTTTTTGGTATAAGATATTCAAATAGGTCAGCATTACACTGTGTATAAGAAGAGAGGTTGACTTCTTTTTTTGCTTATTCAAGGCAGCACTGAGTGATGGATACTTGGGAGTGGAGGGAGCAATTTTACCCATGACCAGGTGCAATGGCGGAGCCAGGGGGTGGCCAGTGGTGGCTTCGGTCACCATAAAATAATATTTGGCCTACCCAAGGGCCACCCCAATCATCAGTTATCAACAAAGCTAGGCTCTCTAGTTTTGTCTCCATTTAGCTTATTAGCTTAAGCAATCCTAACCTTGCTTTTTTCCCCACTTCCATAAGAGTGGCAAGCTAACATTAGCACAGTATGCTATTGTCTTTTCTTTTAGTTGCTCCCTTCTTCATGCGTTATAACAGCGAGCTAACTCGTACAAAAGTTTTAACAGTTGTATTACACAGGATGGGCTCCCTGATACAACCTGGGCTCAAACCTTTAGCTTCAGTAGTGACTACCAAGCTACAGGAGCCCTCACTGTTGGCACAGTCTGTTACGAGTCTTTAACCTGATTGAAGACGGATAGCACAGCTAAAGGTAAAAACACAAATGGTTATAGCTCAAACATATTTACACACAAAGATAAAATTTAGGGATGCACGACATTATCTGCATGGTATCAGTATCTGCCGATATTAGCGATAAAGTTAAATATCAGACATCGGACATTCCACCAAAATAACTCATTGATATAAAAGACTTCTATTTTAAGTTAATTTTTAATCTGTCAAGTATATATATTAATGCACCACTACGTATGCACTTTCACTTGTCGCTTGTGAACAGGTTGAGTATAGATTTGTGAAAATTTACAAATTTGCACTGTTCGAGTGTTGTCATTGTGTTAGAGAGAGTAAATGTCATGAATAAATTTGACATTAAACATAATTCAAGTTGAAGTGTTGCATCATTTTCAGCCCCTTTTTGTCATCTGTATTTGGTGGCAGGCAAAACTGACAAAGACCATGCAGAATAATGTAGTATTTTAATTCCACAGCAGAAAAAGCTATGTAGTCTCTGTAAGTAGGTCTAGGGGGAAAAAATATCAGTATTGGTATCGGCCAAAGAAGTTTTAACATATTAGCATATCGGCCAAAAATCCAATATCGTACATCCCTAATAAAATTTGTTGTGACCATAGCTGAAACTCATCCCCAACACATACTTTGCGTGCTAACAATCATGTAAGATGTGTTTAAAACTTTTACTAGCAAAGCAACAGTCAATGTGCCTTTCTTTACACAATACTGCTTTATTTATTTCTTACTAGGCCTGTCGCGATAAACAATAAATCAATTAATCACATGATAAATGAAAATTATCGACCTCATTTTCATTTATCGGCTTTATCGTTTCTTCTTGTCTCTCTCTTTCTACTGAAGACACTGGATGACAAATGCTCAACTCCGGTGCTCTTCACTGACCCCTCCCTTTCTCCTCTTTTTAAAATCTGTTTTAACCGTCCAAAATCGTGTTTTTGGATAGTTAAAAGCAGCTAAGCTGAGAAGCTAAGCTACGAGCTAAGCTAACAGGCCGACCTCGGGGAAAAAACCTCCGTCTTGTCGAAGCTCCAAAATTCACAGTTGAAACCCGTGCCTTCGTGTAAGAAGTTGTTTTTCTCTGCAAAAAGAAGCTGAGAACTTGTTTACTGATTTTTTTATTAAAAGTTTTGTGTGAAAAATGCTATGCTGAAGAGCTCAAACCACACCGAGTGTCCACTATTTTGAGAATCGGAATAAAGGAAGGAGAGACAGTCCATGTCACGTCAAGGGGCCTCCCTCCCATTTTTCTTAAAGAGCCACGCTGCTCGATCCCTCACTATCCATCCTTTGGTTCAAACAGTCTTATACTGCCATCTGGTGGTCAAAAAAGTTACTACAATCAAAATAAAATTAACAATAATTTCTTCTTAAAATTGACAATTACTAATTATTGTCAAATTTCAAACAATATTATCGTTTATCGCAATAATTTTTGAGACAATTAATCGCCCAGCAAAATTTGTTACCGTGACAGGCCTATTTATTACAACTACTATTTACTGTCCTCTGTTTTTTCGTGCTCCTAGTAGAAGCGAGGGAGCTGAATTAAAAATCACGTTAATAAGACCCCTGTTGGCCCTCCGTGTCAACCTGTGGGCAACTCTAAAACGGTTCTTCTATTTTGAAATATGGGGAGATATAGGACTCAGTCAAAATCAATAACCATTTCTTTTTAGCGTAACTGCAACTCAGATCTACGTGGTTAAACCCAATCATCCACTAGTCATCCGCTGGAAGATCATCAAATGTCTGTTAAAATCAATTTTGTCTCAAGAGTTTTACTGGTCTTTCTTTTTTTGCACGTATGAAAGAAAACTCTTCGACCACATAGACTTTTCTGAATGACAGAGGCACAAAAAGCTAAAAAACACTCAAAATGTGGATTTTCTCTGATTGCGTTTGTGCTATGCTATTAACCTTGAAGAAAATTGGGAGATGGACATACAGTATAATCACAACCTGTTTTTCAGTAAAAAGATTTATCCAAGGAGTTTTCCCTTTAGCTTTCTAAGTTCAGGAGTTTTTTTTTTGTAATGAACCTGTGAAAATGAGTCCTGGGTGTAAGAGATGTACAGAAAAACTACAGTCACCAACCAGTGTCATTTGTACATGTATGTGCAGTGAAACACATGAGGACACTGAAGCAAAAGAGGAAAAAACAACAACTCTTGACTAACAAAAATCCAACGTGTAAGAAAGAGAAAGGCGAAACAAACCATCGATTACGCTGCTGGGTAATTGAATGCCAAGCCTGGCAGTTCAAAATGCCCTCTACATCCAAACTATAACAAGGTCCACGGTAATTCTACCCAGCGGCAAAAACAACTGGACGTAATCTAGTTTTTCATGAGCTCCATATCGCTTCGGTACACAACCTGCAGGCTTAGAGGGAGAAAGCTGTTTCACGGTGTGGAACGGGCGCAGGAGGAGAAAGAAAGAGTAATCACGGAGACAACAATCAGATGAAAAGGCAACAGCAGGTTGACGCTAATTCCGAAGTCACGGCTCCGTAATAGCCACAAGTTTCCAGAGACAATACAGACTCATAAGAAGACTTTTTGCTGCTCGAAGCCATCTGAAAAATCCAAATATCGCAGGCCTCCAAAGTCAATTTTGAAACAGCAGAAGAAGAAAAAGCAAAACTCCTGGCATTGATCAACAATGGCATCCAACCTGTGCAGATGTATTAGGTCCATTTTGGACCAAGAGTCAAAGTGTTTGTTATTGTCCCTTTATAGGGAGGAAAAACAGCCTCGAGGGAAGTCCTTCGATACCAGAAAAGATGTGAACTTCAGAACTCACATCCGTAACCTGTGCCTCCATCTCAGATAAAACTCAGAGAAAACTTTTTGCATGATTGATGGCATTCAGCCGGTGAGTCTCTGCAGAGACGTGTTATTGTATCAGAGATAAGAACGTCTATTTCAAACTTAGTGGAAGTGCAGAGTTAGCAGAATAAACAAAACAAAATTAACCTGTTTAGTTTACAGAGCAATGAATCTAACTTAAGTCCCTTTTTCAGACTGCGTGAAATAATTTGATGAATTATGTGGAGAATAAATCAATTAGAAACTCAACAAAAAAAAAACACTTTATGCTTCATTTACATAACTATGGAAAAGTGTTTCAGTAGGGAGGGTGTTCTGTGAATTCATATTATCAATAATACTCTTAAGCAGTGCATGTGGTATTTTCTGAATATAAACACTGAAAAATAGACTGTATATTTTGGACAATTGTACATAAAATATCAATCATAGGCTGATAATCTGTTTAATTTTTTTGTGAGTTTTAGATCGTGAATCTTTTGTACACAGATCTACAATAATAGTGCTGGTTTCTATGCAATTTTTACTAAACTAAACAATAGCAAATGATTTTAAAATTTAAAGACGTGTAGCAGATGCATATAGTTACTGCATGATCTTTGGCATTTATTGGTGGGTGCTGCAGCACCCTGCACACCCCTTAATCTCACAGCATTGGTCAAATATATGCGTGAGTGTGTGTTCGTTATACAAGTGGGGCGCCCCGCCCCATCAACAGAACTGAGTGCTCCACCTACTGAACTGAACTGTCCCCACTCCCACATCGGCATCGACATAGCACTAAGCTAGTGGTGCCCAACACCAGCGCGATAGCTACAAAGCTAAAGACAGCACTCACACTGCCTCTTTCCTCACGCTGACCCCCCACCCCCACGCTTGAAAACTGTTGGTACAAACAGCGCACAGCACAGACATATTTTCGGCTCATATATATCAGTTTATATGTTGATGATACACACATGAATATATCAGTTTATATGCTGATGATACATGAATATATCAGT